CATTAAGGGCCTTATAGGCAAGTAATAATATTTTGTAACTGATACGGAACTTAATAGGTAGCCAGTGCAGAGACTGTAAAATTGGGGTAATATGATCATATTTTCTTGACCTGGTAAGGACTCTAGCCGCTGCATTTTGGACTACCTGTAGCTTGTTTACTGAGCTTTTATTCAGCAAGGATATGTTAAATTGATAAAAATAAAAAAAAAAGTGATAGTAAAGACTTATATTGTTAGAAAATATTTCTGTTTTGAATAAATGCTGTTCTTTTTAACTTTTTATTCATCAAAGAATCCTGAAAAAAGTATCACAGGTTCAAAAAAAAATGTTAAGCAGCACAACTATTCAACATTGATAATAAATCAGTATTAGAATTATTTCTGAAGGATCATGTGACACTGATGACTTGAATAATGGCTGATGAAAATTCAGTTTTGCATGACAGGAATAAATTATATTTTAAAGTATATTAAAGTAAAAAATATATATTTTGAATTGTAATAATATTTCACAATATTACTGTTTCTGTATTTTTGAACAAATAAATACAGCCTTGGTGAGCATACATGAAACAAAGTATATGACAAAGGGGCACCAATATATTGTTAAAGGGGAGTTTCTAAAGCCAATCGGTAGCCGACTACACCACCTGGATTTTTTTGCTGAGACCCAGGACTCAATTTTTTTGCCAATGTTTTACTCAATTCAGCTGAAATTCTCCACTGAGGGCTAGACATCAACACAGACACTCAAGAGGTAGATCTCATTACAACAAGCACTTTATTACTATAAAACATGACTTTAAAAACAGTAAATAACACAGAAAAGGGAATGAGTCACGAAAAAAAGTGCAGTCCATAAGCAGTCTATGTATGTGGCCAGTCTATGTGGCCAGCAGCAACAGTCCTGATTTAGTCCCACTGCAACAGATGCTCCTGATCGTCTCATCACTTGAGAAAAATAAAACAAACCAGTATCAAATGCCAGTATCTCCAGCCCACTTAACACATAATAAACTACTACTTCTATTCTCTTGTGCAAAAAAATAAACCACAATCCACCCCCAGCCAGTGTTACAGCACACAAAATGGGAATACGGGAATAATATAGTGTCAATAGGCTAGGATATTGGCAGTGAATTTCTGTCAAGTCTCTATTTATAAGCTTGAAGTGATGTAAAATAATCACAGGCCTTCATCTGTCAAAACTGCCCTCGGTGGATCAAAAACTAAAACGGTACTCACAATATGAATGGGCAGCCATATGCTACCCAGTCCCGTTGAAATCCCATGCTGAACACGTGACAACCCTCCGTAACGGTCGTGCTCACCATGCCTCGACTCACTCACGCTCCTAACCGCTCATCTTCTCAGCTCACGGCTTTTCGTCTGTTGTTACCACTACCGTGGCACTCTCGCTCGTCAGTCTGGTACTCTCATGCTGGCTTCCTCTCAGCCACACCCTATCCAGATAGTATGCTGATCTGGGCCACTTAAGGCAATGATATGGCACTGCTGGCCTTCTTATGGCCTGGACAAAATGGATGTAAGCCTGAAGTGGCCCATATGTAAAACAGCAAAAATGGCCCAAATATATCAAATCACATGTGGGCCTCTGTAGGTAAAGGTGCGGTGTTGATGGCATGTGTAATCTGAATGTGACCCTAAAGTGGCCCATGTGGTAATCAGTGATTATGGCTCAAATAGTGTCAACCAAATGTGGGCCACCTTTGGCAAAAATGTGGCATTATCGACAAAGGCTAATCTGGGAGTAAACCAAATGTGGTCCACATATGTTTCAGCAAATGTGGCCCAGGTACATTAAAACGTATATCTGGGACAGTTTTGGCAAAGATATGGCACAGTGAGCATTGGCTAATGTAGCTGTGAGCCTAAAGTGTCCCACATATGATGCCACAAATGTGGCCCAGTTCTCCTCAAACGTATCTGGGCCAGTTTTGGCCAAGATATGGCATGGTAAGCACTGGCTAATGTGGCTGTGAGTCTAAAGTGGCCTGCATATGATGCCACAAATGTGGCCCAGTTATCCTAAAGCGTATCTGGGCCAGTTTTGGCAAAGATATGGCACAGTGAGCACTGGCTAATGTAGCTGTGAGCCTAAAGTGGCCCACATATGATGCCACAAATGTGGCCCAGTTATTCTCAAATGTATATGGGCCAGTTTTGGCAAAGATATGGTACAGTAAGCACTCCTAATGTGGTTGTGAGTCTAAAGTGGCCCACATATGATGCCACAAATGTGGCCCAGTTATCCTAAAGTGTATCTGGGCCAGTTATGGCAAAGATATGGCACAGTTAGCACTGGCTAATGTGGCTGTGAGCCTAAGGTGGCCCACATATAATGATACCAATGTGGCCCAGTTATCCTAAAGTGTATCTGGGCCAGTTATGGCAAAGATATGGCACGGTAAGCACTGGCTAATGTGGCTGTGAGCCTAAAGTGGCCGCATATGATGCCACAAATGTGGCCCAGTTATCCTAAAGTGTATCTGGGCCAGTTATGGCAAAGATATGGCACGGTAAGCACTGGCTAATGTGGCTGTGAGCCTAAAGTGGCCGCATATGATGCCACAAATGTGGCCCAGTTATTAAAACCGTATCTGGGCCAGTTTTGGGAAAGATATGGCATTGTAAGAACTGGCTAATGTAGCTGTGAGCCTAAAGTGGCCGCATATGATGCCACAAATGTGGCCCAGTTATCCTCAAATGTATCTGATGTGGGCCGAAACTGTCTGCTGTCTGGGATGCAACGCAGTTAACTGATGCAGGGTGATCCGGATGCGAGTCTTAAGAAGACTACATATGCAGCAATTTATTTTTTGAAACATGCTTTTAATGGCAGTTTTTTAATATGTGTACTGTGCAGCATAAAAACAGAAGTGCACTATGATTGTACTCTTACTGTCACAGTTTCTGTTAATTTGGACTTTGTTTTCCTTTTGCACTATTTCCCTTGTGTTGATTGCATTATTTTGTTCAGGTGTGCTTAGTTAATTATCCTTGTTTGGTGTTTGGTCTGAGTACTTAAGTTCCTGTATGTTCACTTTGAGTTTTTCTGGTCTTATGTCTACATGTCTTAAATGTTGTTGTGCTACATTGTGTTTGTTTGGATTTACCCTTGTTGGATTTACCCTTGTTGGATTAAAGACTAATGATTATCATCAAATGTATCTGGGCCAGTTTTGGCAAAGATATGGCATGGGGTGGGGGGCGCTAGCGAGCGGCTAATGGAGTAGACGCAGTTTTTTGAGTCTCCTCAAGCTGCCTCCTGTTTTTGTTTAATATATCATCTTCTTAGTAAATATCATCTTTCTCATTCTCATTTTTTTCGTTACTTGCAGATTCGGCATTATGTTCAGCAGACTTTTTC